TCACAGGCTGGCTGTAGATTCCGTCCAGCATGGCGAACTCTCTCCTTTGGCAACCGATGTGCTTCTTCGCGGGATGTTACGTAGTCCAAAAAGTTTGCAAGCTGCCATCCTGTACTTCTTGGACATGATGTTGTACAGAATGGGGTTGATTGCTGCACTGAGGTAAAAGAGTACAAAGGAGATGAGATTACAGTAGTGGCTGATGATGGACATGACAGGAGAGCCCATCTCTGTGGATTTGGAGATCAGGTAACGACCCACGTGAAAGGGGAGCCAGCAAAGCACGAAGGCAAACACCACCACAGCTGTGAGACAGAGGTAATGAAAGAAACTCAGCAGGAAAAAGAGCAACGGCTTCAAGCAAATAGTTGGGCATGCACAAAATTGTTCATTCAATAATGAACAGTTACTCACTCTGGAATAGTTCTAAGTCTTTATTTGTTTATTTTTGTCAGAAAAGAAGATATTTTGAAAAATGTTTGAAAACTATAGCCAGTGACGTCCATGGTATGAAAAAATACAATGGAAGTCAATGACAACTTGTTTTCATTAATCTTCAATGCATATTGTTTTGTGTTCAACAGAAAAAATAAACTCAAATAGGTTTGAAACAAGTGAAGGGTGAGTAAACCAACACAGAATTTTTTTTTTTATTTTGGCAGACCAATTCTATTTAATAGCCTCATTAGCACACAAAATACAAAGCATATCATTTTAAAAGTACAGGAACATTTAGTAGATTTTCATGATGTAATATTTTAATAAATTGTCAGATCTGCTATAACTTTCAATTAAACTGTACATTTTCATTTACAAAAAAAGATTTTCATCACTTTCAAAACGAACACTTAAGTGTCAAGTCAATGCTTCCTATTTTGTATCATATTTTCTCAGTCTTATTCTTGGACAATTACTCAACACTGTTACCTTGATTTTTTACTTATTATTATTTTTATTTTTTTGAGGGAATATCAGCATTTTATTTTCCTTAACACAATTTAATATTATGACCTCGCGCACAAAGATTAAAGAGTAAACAAAGAAAAAAATGTTACTTAAAGCTTGAAGCTACACGGCGCCTTTCTATTATCTCTAAAGACTTCAGTTAGAAAAACGCATTAGAATGTTAATTAAAATCGTATATTAAAAATTTAAATCTGGACATTGTTGCCTGTTTTCCTCAACGCATAATTCAATAAACACATTCAATTTAGTTTTTACATGACGAGTTGTATTTTTAGGTTCTAAAAGGAAGTATGAATCAGGATTGAACCGCTGTTTTGTGCCAAGCGCGTCCTGTGCGTAATGGGTGCGCTTGTGCGCAAAGTGCGCAAAATTATAAACTTAATCCGGTGATGAAACCAGACACTTACCCAGCATTTTCACTGTCTGTCTATTGCTTTTATCTCGACTCGAAGCGTTTTCTCCAATCGTCTCCCTCTTTCTCTTCCAGAGCTTTCGCCCGATGAGACTATACAAGACAGTTAAGCAGAACACAGGCAAGAAGAAAAAGATGCTGGAGACCCAAACCATTATGGTTAAGAGCCCAGACCTGATGGCATATTCCGTCGCTTTGCATTCGTTGGTATCCCACGAGTTAGTCCCGTTTTCGTGCTCAACCCCGACGAGCACGAACACAGGTCCCGCGCTAAAGAAGGATACTATCCATAGGACCAAAATGACCCCTCGCACTCGACCCTTGGTCACGACTACCTTTGCCCTAAGAGGAAAACAAATAGCAAAGTATCTCTCCACACTGAGAGCTGTGATGTTCAGAATGGTCGAGTATGTGCAGCACTCGCTCACAAACTGAAAGAGTTTACAAAGTATGTTGCCAAAATTCCAAGGTCGGTACCTCCAGATTCTGTACAGGTCCAGGGGCATGCAGAGGAAAATGAGTAAATCCGAAAAGGCCATGCTGGACAGGTACAGGTTGGTGGTTGTTCTCATGTCCTTGTATTTGGTCACCACTAAAATGGTCATCAGATTGCCCGTTACCCCTACAAAGAAGAAGAGCACACAGGTGACGGTGACCCCGGTTAGCACTGGAATGGGGAAGATGTTGACCGGCTGCTCGATCCCCCAGTATGTCGCGTTATCATCCCAACTGCAGTTGAAGGAACAGTTGGACCGGTTCGTCCAGGTAGGCATGCTGAGAGATCATGGAGCGTCTAGATGGTCCTCTGAGAGAGAGCTCGGGGAGGACAGTCTGCCCTCCGACTCCCCATCGTGCTGCGCTCAGGGCTGCCCAACATTTATTATTTCTCGTGTACAACCTGTACAGCAGCAAGGTGCGAATTAGGAGAGTTTTGGAGGCTCTTCGTTAATTACCGCGTTTCCTGAACGATGTCAACGTACGTATAATAAATGTACCTTTACATAAACGACTCTACAAAATTTGCGAAACCTCAAAGTTGAATTGATTTTCGCTAAACCAAAGCTGCGCGAAAAGAAGCATCAACCGCCTTTGGAAGTAACCATAGCAACCGCTCCGTTCTGTCGCTCGTGAAATCGACAAAACTGTCATTATCACTTTAATATAGCCTCACAACAATGCTGTTATTGTTGTTTTGAACGTCTTATGATAGTAAACTTACTTAGAGGCGTGCGCACAGGATGCGCGCTGGCTGACAATTGGTGCCAAAAGAATTCCCTTAAAAAGTCGACTTCTTTGAAGGTCATTCAGCATTTCCCGCGCCCTGTTGTACTCTACAGATTTGTTGCTGTCAAATAAATGTCCTCATGACACATCCTTGCCATCCGTTCCACATCTAAAAATTGGTTCCAACTGATAAAACTCAGAGGATTTAAGGATGGCAATCCAGCTTTTACTGGCAAGTTATCTGTCCACACTGGACAGCAAATCGTTAGTCTTGAAGCTATTTAAGGCATCTCTGGTGTGGGAAGAAAGATAAGTGTACAAGGTATGTGAGAGTCGGAGAGATGAAATCACCTTGCGGTGGATGAGAGACGCGCATTATGCGCGCCGGCTGTCTGCGTTCAGAGCTTAGGGACTCCTCATTACTGATGTCATTGATTCATCATCGCTTAAGTGGATGCGAAATACAGCTGGAGAGTTTCGTGAATGGTTCGAAAATATAGATCCAAAGTATTTTAAAGAAAAAAAGTTAAAAGGATTAATTCTTGATAAACAGGGCCATCTTGTGGTAATATCATAGAATACAGCGCAACACATTCTTGTAAATTGATTTTCGTTTTTAATAAAATAATAATTAAATTATACAAAAATGTTAGCTTGTCTCTGGGGCTCTTACTGAAAAAAATGCAACTACATTATGACTTGATACTCTTTCAAAAGTAATATCATTACTTTACTCACATGTATTTCTCTTGCTAATATTGATTTGTTGCACAACTACTGTGTATTATATACGACACGCAACATAGTTAGCAATTGCCTACTTTACAGGCTACTATTGCAGACTCATGACTGAAGTGGCGTGCGAGTATTCAGTGTAACTCGCGGCGCCATCTATAGGTGAAGTTTTGCGTTGACGCTCTGGAAACAGGAGTCTTCTCGGAATATATCGTCTGGTCTTTTCTAATTTGCAGCGGGAATTGGAATGGTTGGCGTGACAACTCTAATCGGAGACAGGAAACCAAGGACTGTGAGTTTTCCCGAATAACGAGACTTTAACATTCAATTTCTGTCGCCTTATTCCATAATAGCAGTAGTTAGTTTTCAGAAACACTCGATGTTGGTTTAAAGTGAGTTTTGACAAAGCCACAGATAATTAATCTTATAAACTGTTTAAAAAATAGCTTAATGCTAACTGCAAAATGCACCAAGCAGAATCATGTACTATTATAATCGGATATGCTGTCAAATATTAGCCTACCTGTACAGGTTTTAATTTTTTATTCTTCAATTATTTTTTCAGTTGCACCAGTCGCTTTGGTGCATTTCTCACAACACTATTTACATTTGCACAAAAGGTCATGCATTTCTCAAAACAATTAGTCATTTGTGCACATCCTAGTAGCAGTTTCTCATTCCTTTCATCAAATTGCAAATGCTTTTGGACATGCATCAATTGCTTTCATACAACTCTCTGCTGTTTATTTCTAACTTTACTGTAGTTTTCAAATGGCTGTGCAAATAGTATATAGTGCTGTCTTGAGAATTTTCAGGATGTGTCAACAACATCTGACTTTTTAGCATTGGAAAAAATTACAGAGTAAATTGTCATAATGAAAACATGTCAAAGCCATTTGACTATCTTGTTCAAAAACAATGCTGTCAGGACTTTTCATCTTGATGATTGTGACACATTGATTGAAAAAAATACTTTACCTTGGTATACTAACCTGTTATTACCCAACGTTGTTTTAGTTAATGTACCAAAAGTACTAAGACAAATTTTTAATCAATTCAATGCAGAAATGCTTTTTTCATCATGCAAATGAGGTTTTGATGTTGATTGAAAATTCTGGGAAGTGAGCGAAGACAGAGATCATTAACCTGTTTTATGACTGGAAAGCACTGATCTGCTGATATCGAGTCCTTCTGTAAACTGCCATCATCAGTACAGCTAATAACCTGAAACTTCAGCAAGCCTTTAAAACCACGCATACAGTAGGTTCTTTCTTTCTTTCTTTCTTTCTTTCTTTCTTTCTTTCTTTCTTTCTTTCTGATCACTCAAAATTTTATTCCCTCTACTTACATTTTTTGTCAATATTTTCAAAATCCTTTAAGCCAAAATGTTACAAAATAGTTGAGTGTTTGCTATTAAATGACACAGATGTTATCTTTACAGCACAGAGTAAGCTTAAACAGTGTAGTAAATTGAAACTGTCAGTCTGGTTTTCAGAGTTCAGTTTAGTGTTGTTTAATTTTCACTGCTGAAAGTCCAAACACTGAAGAGCAAATTCATTGATGCACAGCTCCACAAGTCCCAAACCAAGCAAGCCAGAGGCGACAGTGGCGAGAAACAAAACTACACCAATTGACAAAAGTGAAGGAAAAAAAAAAACCTGGAGAGAGTCCAGGCTCAATTCACAGTATGAGTTGGCTGTAACATGGGTGAGATGTTAAATGATTTTGAAGTCTTTCATGACCAAGGCATACTGAAATAAAAACCTAAATAGAAATGTGTTTGGGATTGCTGTAACAAGATTCATTCATGTTAAAAGCAACCAACCTAGAGTCTTGGTTTTACAACTGACCTAGAGTCTAGTAGCCATATATTACAGCTAAGATATTAGCACACACAATTAGCAATCTGATGCCTTCTCTTACAAATCAGGTAAAAAGTTAAACATTTTAAAAAAGTTAGCATGTTTAATTATGAATTAAGCATGGATTTAAATAGTAATCATCCTTTTAGGTGTGGTGTTTCAGTGGTGTCTGGTCAAAGTCACCATTGTAGTTGTTTTCTCCACTGGTCTCAGTCTCAGACTCAATTGCCATGTCATTTGCAGTAATACTGCAACCGCTGCAATCTAGAGATACAATATAACCTATAATCTTTACAGCACATGCCTCATTCCTCTTTCAGCTGGAGAGGAAGTCTGTAGCTCTTTAGGCCATTTTAAATAGTGCCAGGCATTGTGTGTGTGTGTTTTGGTGCTATAGTTTTATCTGTTGACCTTGAGAATGGATTTGAAGCACACAATTGTCTGTGAAGACAAACACTCTCTTTTAGACACATGCTTGCTAGTAAGCAAACACACACACACACACACACACTATACGTCAGGGTTCACCAATCCTGGTCCTGGAGGGCCGGTGTCCCTGCAGGGTTTAGCTCCATCTTGCCTCAACACACCTGCCTGGATGTTTCAAGTATACCTAGTTAGACCTTGATTAGCTTGTTCAGGTGTGTTTGATTAGGGTTGGAGCTAAAATCTGCTGGACACCGGCCCTCCAGGAACAAGTTTGGTGACCACTGCTATACGTGGTTAGCATGTAATGAATCCTCAAATGGACAGTACACTTGTTTTTCTAATGTTGTCCACTAGAGGGCAAGAAAGCTTTATATAAATCTGTTCTGACCATCCAAAATTCTATAATAATAACATTTAAAATAATGTGCATTTCGTAGGAAATAATATGATGTCATATTTTGTGATATGTTAAAATGCTAGTTAATTTTCCTTAACTGTGTTGTTAGGTGAGATCATTAAATTATTAAAAAACCTTTAAAAAGAAACAAAAAAATTGTAATGTTAATATGAAATATATCCATAAAAATTATAAATTATAAATTATAATATACAAAATATACAAAAATTATAATAATAAAAATAATTTAATAAAAACAACAGTAAAATTGTGAAATGTTATTGCACTATAAAATAACTGTTCAAAAGTAGTTTATAATATAATAATTTATTTTAGTGATTTTAAAGATTAATTTTCAGCTTCATTGTTCCATTCTTCAGAGTAACACGATCCTTCAGAAATCACTCTAATATTTATTATTATTATTCATTAATTTATTTTCTTTTCAGATTAGTCCTATTAATCAGGGGTCGCCACAACGGAATGAACTGCCTTAATTATTATTACTTTTTCCTTATTATTATTATTATTATTATTATTATTATTATTATTATTATTATTATTAATGATTATAGCATTAAAAGCATTAATGATGACTGGAGTGATCATTTTATTTGAAACTACAGACAATAAGTAATAAATAAATATTTAATAAATAAGTATTTAACCATTTTTAACATTTAATAAATGTCACCTTGATTAACAGAATAGTTTTCTTTAAATTATTAAAAAATATTAATATAATAAAAAATGACCCCAAACTTATCACCGGTAGTGTGTGTATATATAAATATGATTTACTTATTCCACTTTTGTCCTTGAGATTCTAATTATCTTGTAATTTTGGTTTATAGTTAGTGTGCTTCTTTTGAGTAAGTGTAAATTATTAATTTAATATCTTCAACTGTCTCTCATTTACCCCCCCCCCCCCCCCCCACACACACACACACACACACACGAGGGTCTGCGGTTCAGCTGATATTGTTTTCTGTGTGTGTGAGAGACAGAGATGTTTGCTTGCGGCTGTGATAAATGGCATTGCCTGCCATTTGAGCAAAGGTATGGCACACCCTGCCGTGGTAATTATTACAGACTCCATAGACCAGAGGTCCTGCGTCAGACAAGG